CTGTACCGATTTTTTACATTATCGGTGACAGTAACACTTCTGATTTTAAAACAAGGGGGGGGGGGTTCTCATATTGTGCTTTAGATTTTAGCACTTCCATAAATTTTACCCTAGTTGCGCCCATGGGAAAGCAATAAATTCTTTTTTTCCGTCAGTTACAATAGTTAAAAATGTTATAGTGCAAATCAGATTATGTATTGACTTTATGTCTTATCCTTAAGAAAGATAACAAAAAATAAAAATGTATTTTTAATAACAAAGGAATAAAATCTATGTTTATATTAAGAGGACGCTACACACATATTTGTTGTCTTCATCTAACAAGTGTGTATCGCAAATTTAAGCTTAACAGATCACGTTTTTTTCCGTTAGTATAAATATTAGAGTAAATTTTTTTCTTCTAATAACAAGATACATTATATTAAAACAAAGGGCTTGAAACTCAAGATATGAAAAAATGAATATTGTTTTAAACAAAATAAAAATTTGCATATAAATATTTCCTCACAATATGGTATACATATTTGATAGTGTTATAATTAGGGCCCGGATTTAAATGCACTTAAAACCATACAAATATGTTCTAAAAAATAGCCAAAAATGCATTTTACCTCAAAAAATGACCTTAAAAATGTCAATTATATTTATTTTGTATACAATTTGTTATTATAATTTAGGATTTATTATTAAACTATATTTATAACTTTATTGAAAAAAAAAAATTTGGAAAAATTGACTTGATGCTGCTACGATGTTGACACGCATATGTTTTGGGGCAATATTATTCATTCTAAACATAGTTACTAAAATATATATTAATAAACACAGAAAATTATATAGTATGTTGAACGAATATGCATTAAAAACCATAAAAATGACCCAAAAATGCTAAAAATGCTCTTAAAACTTAAAATGGCATTATATGCAAAAAAATGCAAAATAGAATGTTTAGATTTGAAACACTCATTACATGAAACAAATTTTATACTTGGAAAGCATTGTCTATAATCATTCAAAAAAAGATGCACTTTGCATTGAAATCCGGGCTCTAGTTATAATTGTATGTTTGTAATGACTGGTTAAATTCAATAATAGGGAATTGCCAAATTTTAAATCATAAAATTGCATAAAATGAACAATTTCAATTCAAAAAAAAAAAATGTAGCCGCTAAAATAGATGTTAAAATAAATTATTTCATACCACAGGTGACGTCATATGAATATTGAGTTTTCCTCCAATTAACAGACGAACTTCAGCTACAAACCTTGTGTTAGTTTTTAATACTTGAGGTGGTTGAGTTATGATTACAAAAGTACTAAGTAAAAAATATGAGAAATAAGAATGGTAAAATAAATTTAAATTACAAAGAACACACCTTGCCACTAACGATGAAAGATATTGTGTTGTCATATCAAGAAGCGTGTTTATTATTTCACACGATTGAGGTAATTCAAAATAACGACCCAAATTCACTCTAAAACGATCAGCTTCTTTAATTTGTGAACGAGTTATCCATATTAAATCACATAATTTCTCACACCTAATTAAGAATTTAATATTGCATAATATTTAACTGATTCAATATTAATTTAATAGTAAGTTCTTATAAGTACCAAGTTTGTATGACATCTATATCCTTCATGTATTTATATCCGTTACCAGCTAATTGTTGTTCACGTTTCCACTGAATTAATGCCTTATCAATAATATGAGCTTGAACAGGACTGAGCAAATTTAATGATTCATTAAGTTTGTTTATGTAGACACAGAGAGCATTGTTAAGACTTAATGATTGAGTCTTTAATTGTCCTTCATACAACTCTTTTTCCTGTTTTAATTTACGTTCAATTTCAGGTCCTTGAGGAATGCTCATTCTT